TGTGAGTTGTCACATACAAAAAACAATAATATATTAATATCATACCACCAGGGGTATCATATTGTTATTATTATTGGTAAACCGGAACACGTCCTGCGACCTAAGTGCGGTGGTCTATGTTTGGGTGTGTGTGTGTACTTATACCTATATATAGCGAAAAGAACCGACCGATGTATCCGCAGATAACCCTTTTTGTCGCTTCCTGCGAGGCGGCAGATGACGCCGATTATATTTCCGGCGAGTATCCGATGTCCGAGCACACATATAAGTATAATAATGCTTAGGTCCGAAAACCACCCCCTGTACCGTGGCCAAAGGGGTAGAGTAGCGAGGGGAGGAAACAATACCGGACGTTAGGTTGGAATCTGCGACGACCACCACCATCACCACCGCCACCACCACTACCACTACTACTGTTGTATACTTGTGACACACCGGCGGCCTTGCTTGGACGGTTTTGGATTTCTGTTGAAATCGATCTAGCCGGTGTAAACGGCCGTATAATGGACACGGGTTTTTGATGGAAAAAAATATATATATTATATTATAGAGCATCAGCTAGGGAGAAAACCCTCTGAAATCGCACCTTCAACGTCTTCGGGAATTATTATAACGTGCAAAGACAATAGTGAGCTATTTAAATTGCAATTCAAGTATTAAGGTGCGTATCGCATTAGGGTTCTGTCTATTCGTTTAAGATGTAAAATATTTTTTAAAGGGTTTTTGTCGATTTTCAAAACGGGAAGAGGTGAATTTTTTCGACATTTTTGATCCGACAGAGTACTTCTTTGTACTGCGGTTTGGGAAATACACACTCGAAAATGACGCGTTTTACATATTTTAACAACTTTGACGTCATAACTTCCCCCTTCTCCCCTCCCCTCCCCTCCCCTCCCTCCCCCCAAAAAAGGCAAAATAGTTCTCAATTTGTTTGCTGTGTTTTTTATCTGTAAAACGTTTAATTAAAACCAGGCGAAATATCATCAATCATTTCCCTCAGTCCTCACAAACGGATTGCAACTGTTTTTATTTAACTTTTTCTAGTTTTTCCACTTGCTATCTGTAAATTGAAACAACTAATTAATCGGATAAAAATATTTGTTTGTTTTAATTTCCTGATTAATTAAATTCTAAACGGTCACAAAAGATAGAATAACAAATAATAGAATATAGGTTAAGACAGCCGTTAGGTTAGAATAACATACAGGAACAACAGATAGAACTTTTTAATATTAAAAAAAAAAAACAAATAATAGTCAATCGAATTTGCCATGTATAAATTCTTTTTCAAATCCCGTCTATGATTTTCTCAAGCTTTCTTGTTCTACATAGATAACACATAATGGTATAAGCCATTGGCCGACTGTGTTACATCTTGATCTTAGTAAATTTCTACATTTTTTTTTTGTATCAACTGCTATATAGAAAAATAAAAATATATACCTAACCGTTCTTGTATGAAATATTTTTTTTATTTTTTTCATTTTTTTGTGTGAATATAAAAAACACCATAATGTTTTATCGAGACAACTTTGACGTGTGATCGTTGCTCGTTATTGATGGAGGGTCGGACAATCGCATGATGGTAATACTATTTCCGTTTTAAACAATTTCTATCGAGTTGGTTTAACAGGTGCGCAGGATGTGTATTGGGTACACATTTTCACTTTCACATAATTTTTTAACGCTTTCCATACCGCGTGTGTTGTCCCGCGGGTTCGTGTCGGTTTTCAAAATGATATTCACCTAATAAGCTCTCACTGGTATATATTATTGCCTGATGATGATTGATTCGCATTTTAAGTAGGGCACGACAAACCCCCCTACGTATCCACTATACCGGGATACCCCCTGGGACTAACCGTATCTAAAAAAAAAAAAAAAAAAGCAAACCACTAAATGCGATTATTCCATCAGGATGTACATCTATCTAATGAAGGTTCCTGTCAAAATAGACCATAATGCTCTCCAAAAACACACAATGATGATCGACCGAAAACGGGCAGGTGTTATATTATTATATTTAATTTGTTCCAATAGACATGTTAAAAATTATGGGGACAATAAGTATTTTATATTTAGTTATTATATTTTAATTCAAACTACCATTTAAAACGATAAATAAATTATTGTATAATAACTCGGACGAATATGCAAATAATAATTAAAAACAAATTTGTATTTGAACGAATTTCAATGATACATATGAAAAACTATTTATATTTACATTTTGAATTTTAACTTCATCGTTTTTTATTCAAATAAAAAAAAACCGTACAAAAAGATAGTAAATACACACTTACCATAATTCAAAAAAATTATAACATGTACAACTTTTAATATATAAAAAGAAAAATATTCATATCACTTTTATTTCGACTATGTATTTATCTTAAAGTAGGTGGTAACTGACGCTTTAAACTGACTAAATCAAATTCAATTAAATACTTATTTCATATTATTAACACATTAGCACATTGAATTAGGACTTAGGTATTGTCGTGCGTTCTTTAGTCGTCTAGTAAAGTAAACAGACAAACTAATTATCATCAAAGTGTGCCCAACCCTTTCCCCGGGTACTTACCTATTATTATTATTATTATATTTTTTCCCCTTTAAGTCCCAAATCAGTTTTGACGTCTCAGAGTTATTTATGTGTAATTTATTTAAGTGTGTGTGTCTTCGAAGGCAATCGAAAACCGACATTATTACTATTGAAGCGACATTAATAACATAGTAGAGAATCCTGGGGCAAGTAAATAATATATACCTACTATTCCGGTCGGTCGTAGGTACTGCGACACGTTTAAAAACAACTTTAAATTTTCTAAGTAAGTATGTATGTATCGACTCAGGTTTATATTAATAAAAAAATAAAAAATATAAGTACATCGGTTATTAAATCGATAGCAGTCGCGGTTAAGGCCAATATAAATCACAAGACAGACACCGCTGACGGTCTCATAGTTTTGGCTAACAAAAAAAAAAAAAATCACCCCTCTGCCCACCACTCCACCAAGTAAAGGGTGGCTTTTACCCCTCGAAATTCACTAGTTTTTTTTACGCGGGGCGAGAAGGGGGAGGTAAGTGGCTTTTTCAGTCGTGATGTTAAACCTGACAACAGCCAATAATAAGTTACTAAGCAACTCCAATGTTTGTGTGTAATAATAATATATGTAACGTGTAAGTAAAGTAAAATAGGCTATTAGGAAAGACATAAAAAACGAATGGTGTGTATAGATTGAAAAATTAAAAAGACAAAAATTAATTACCTCAAAGGAAAATATTTGACCCGTTTGAGAATGATTTCTGACCCGGTCCAAACGTGTGCACACGGCTGAGATTCGTTCAATACTTCACCAAAAACCAAAAATTTCAATAATATTACCCCGGCGGATTAGATTTCTATCAAATAATATCTATATATTATTATACATTGTGGAAAAACATGATTCGGTTTTTGATCAGCTGAAAAATACATTAAGGAAGACCGCCCCGAGTTTATTGTACCACCGGTATAAAAGGCAACATAATAATAATAGAATTCTACAATATTATTATTATTATTATGTATGTTATATACTGTTATAACTACCGATTTATACTATTCCCTAGCGATTGCTGTGCCGAGCACAGGAAAATATTAGAGATTATAAAATAACCCTATTTTCGGGCACGCGGTAACTCAACAGAATAACATGTACCTAATACTGTATTATTCCATATAAGTCCATCTATTGGGTAATAATATTTTTGGAATCGTCCAATATCGTAAGACAAAAATGATATTCTAGATTTATATAGAGTTGAAAATATAATTTATCAAACTTCAGACAAAATATGTATAATTCAAATTCAACACGTTTTAGGTACAACAAACTTATTTGCTATCTAATTTAATTAGCCTTTTCAAACAGCAAAATATGATGACGAGGATTTTTGTTATAAATAGTTTGGGATTAAATCAAACGTCTGGTTTTCAACTTTTGTCCAGTAAAATGTTATATTAAAAAAGACTTGTACAACTATTTGTGGCGATATTTTTTTAATCATTCACCAAAAAGACTCTAAAAAAAAATTTCAGTTAGCAAATCTGGATGACACCATCATAATATTATGACGGTAACGTTTAATGAGGAACAATATTTGCCAAACATTTATGTGTGAGCTATTTTTAATATTACAACTAATTAAAGGACAAATGAAAATATTAACTGTTTTTATTTCCAAAGTTTTTTGCTAGGTATTTTTGCTGATTCGTGGCCAAAGAAGAAGTCACTTTCATTGAAAGTAGAAATCTACTTTCTCTATGGGAGGCAAAAAGGCCGGATTTTCGTTTTGTTTCGACAGTAGACAATTTTTTTTTTGAATAATTAGAAGAACTATAAAAACTGATAATGTAAACGCAATGTTATTACATGGAACGCGTTGTTAGTCTATGGTTTTAAAGTCAGTTAAGCCTTACAGTAGTAGTCAGCAACGAAACCGAGACAGTATTATTTAACGCTAATATTTAAATTTGTAAAAAATGCATTTTTTCGTTGCGCTATGATATGGCACGGCATTGATCACCCTGCATACACAGACACAAGGGTGTATAATATTATGTGTATGTGCGATTTCGCCAAAGCTACAGGGTAGGCGGCGGCGTGTTGCATGTACGAAATAAATAGCGGACAACGGGGGGCGGGGGAGTGGGGCGGCGTTCTACTGGTGGTAGTTTAAAAATGCGGCACGGGGGTGAGTTAGTATAATGTGTGCGTGTGTGTGTGTGTCGTGCCACCCCTTGCCGCCGCCGCCACGCAACAGCGGGCAACGGCAACAGGCGCCGTCGGTGGTGCGGCTCGCGGTGCGCGCGCACCCAATAATAATCACCCCCTTTGGATAGGGCTACACCCACGGAGTGTCCGCCGGGGACGGAGGGTGGCCGACGACCGCAGCGTCTGCAACGGCGGCGGTATAAGTGCTGGCCACCGAACATTTCCAAACGCACTCGCGTACCGAACACTCGGTCTGGTCGCTTCGGTGCTCCTCTTCGCGCTATCTCTCTTCTCTCTTTCTCTCTCTCTTAACTCTTTTTTCGTATATTTTTTTTCCCTCACTCTCCTCCGTTCTCTTATCTCTCTGTTCTCGGTTGTTTAAAAAAAAAATTAATTTTTTGAAAAACTTATATTTTTTTTCACCCCCATCGCCCGCGTTTTGTGTGCCGCCGCGGTTTTCTAAGACTGTTTTTTTTTTTTTTTGTCGTTCTTAAATACTCGCTGTCGGGCCCTTCCTCGTCGCCCCCTTGACGACACGCCGTGAATACTCGACACGTGAATTTTTATTTATAATTAAATAAGTTTATTTTAATCTACTCGACCGGTGCCAATCGGATGACGGTTGGCCATGCCCCGGTGCCTGATGCCGAAGAAGTGGAAGACCGCTGTGGCCAACGAGTGCTCGTGGGTGTACGACGGGCGGCCGGTGTCGCCGACGAGTAACGGCGGCGCGCAACGATGGGAACCGCCGGTGACCGTGATCTTGCAACATCACCATCAGCCGCAGCCGCAGCCGCCGACGCCGCATCACCATCAAGCGTGGGCACCGTCGAGCCCGCCGGCCGGAGCCACCGCGCCGAGTCCGCCGCCTTGTTGCACCGGCACAGCTTTCCATTACCTGACAGGTACCTTTTTTTTTCTATAGACATATTTTTTACACTAGTTAAAAAATCAAAAATCCAAAATATAACACACTGTAACAATTTTTTTTTTAAAAAACACACTACTTATAAAAAAAAATACCGCCTTAGCAGCGAGTGGTCGACGTTATTACCGCGATTTTTTTTGATTTTTTATTCCCGGCCACGTGCCACCACAATAAGCAATCGAATATTCGTATCTTTGTCATCGCTTAAAAAAAATATATAAAATATGTAAATATATCTATTTACTTAATCCTAGTCCTGACCCGTGGATGTAGGGGTCACACGCCATGGGGTCGATTGTCAATGGTCTCGTGTAAATAATTGAATAAAGCTAACAAAAAAAATGTCTTAAAATAAACCTTTAATAACAGTAATTATTACTGGTAAATACATTTTATATATTCAAATCGATCTGCGTTTTTTTTCAATCGAACAATACAGTTAATTAGTAATTATTCCGATTTGGTAATTCGTTAAAATATTTTTTCTGTACATTTTTGTCGGTTTTGAAAATTCTCATCGAGTCGCGTTCACTTGTTAAATTCACTTTGTTAAATTATTATCTTTTAAACAAGTTATAAAAAATAAAAGTCTAATCAAAATACAATTTTCTGCAACGCATTTGTAGGGAAATACTTAAAAAAACATATCACCGGACTTAACTTCGGATAAGTATCATATTATGTAAGCAACCGAAGACATGTACTTCCAATCAGACTTTTCGTTCATCGCACAATAGCTGATGTTGGCTGTGTTAGGTAAGGTTAGGGGTTTTGATGACGGTTGGAAGATTGTTTAGGTAATTTAATTACTTGTGACGGAGACCTATTTACTTGTTATTATATTCTTCTTGATATTGGCTATGGACGTTTAGGACACGGTGTATACTATTATTGTGCAACCGACTACATTGGTCTACTTGGACACGGTGTATATGTACATAACGATAACGGGGTGAAAAATGTATTTCTAGCTGTTGTCAATTGGGGTTGCCGATGACGGATGATTTATGTGTCGGTGGCACATTGAAAGCTTGCTTGTACACACAATAGATGTAGGTATTATTTTTTATTATCATTTTTTTTCTACTCCGACGACGGATAAAAAATACAAAAACCGTATTATTATTATTCAAGGATTTCTTAATGTTATTAATTTTGAATAAATAAAAAGTGAAAGAGAAAAATACCGAGAAATAAAAAAAAAACTTTTAATATCATAATATAAACATTGGCAACATCGTTAAGGAAACGGCTCGGCTCGGCGTGAATTGATTTACAATAATAATTGTTTATCATTTCCATATTTTTTTTTTTTTAAACAGGTATACCTTTTAAACCACGCATAAATATCATCCGTATTGTATACCTATATATTATATGCTATAATAAAAGTTTTTTTTATCATCGACCAACCGTGTTTAGGGTACCTCTACTGTTATTATGTTTATTTTATGCAAAAGGGGTGGGCCTGGGTTGGCGAAGGGGTTGAAAATAATGTTTGACGGTATAAATATTATACAAAATCTATGTGAAAGTGTGAAAAGCTTTCACGGATTAAATGATTGTGCGGATCATTTTAATATGTATTATTATATGATTAATACACACGGTAAAGACACGGCTGAAAAATCATAATCTCCACAATAATAAAATATGTAGAAAATATATTTTATGTACATAATATTATGTAGATATTATATTATTATATTTTTATCCTCGCCGGTTAATAATGGCTAGGTGCGCTGTTATATAACGTTGAGATTAGCCCGGTGCGAGCGTCAACCAAAGGGTAAAAAATTACTAAAAAATATTATCAAGGGATCATACACAAGTGTGGCTCTTGTTTAATTTTCCGCCAACTTCCAACTTTTTTACCATATCTCGTTTGTGTTATACAGGGTGTATCAAAACGAGACTTTCGATTTATCCCGAGCGGCTGTTTAGTGTTTTTGTCAATAAATAATTGCTAAAAAATTGACTCGAAATCAAACAAGTGGCCCCGTTTTTAGGGTAGGATTTTTCAAAAAAAAAAAAATATGAATTTTTTTCTTACTCTTAGATAATATGTACATGTATATTTGCCAAACATATATATATATAATATCTTATTAGCTAATGGATTTTCTTTCTGTGCGCCACGTTGGAACAATCGGAGCGGAAGAACCGTCTGCCCCGTCGTCTCCAGAGGAGCAGAAGAGATAACATTGATGCGATGCGCCATATATATAGATAGATATTATTATTATACAGCCAACGACGGATATGGTATAGGATTGTAGACCTAACAAGCACAATACCGTTGTGCGGCGGATTATCGTCCGGTCGTGCACGTCCGATATTCGTTCCTATGTATTCCAGTGTATTGTTTTCACAATGATTTGTATATTATACACATAGACTATTTTTTTTTATCTGCCAACAGACCGGCAAGCTTCTTACGCTCGAGGGGTAGAAACTTTGTGGTACCGCTTTAAGGCTGGAAATCTGTAGATGATAAAACCGGCCCCATAATTTGACATAAATATTTTAAATAATTATTGCTGTCTGCGTGCGACAACGGTTAGTACAAAATCGATTTGCCTAACAAAAGATTTGGAAGTCGAATATAAAAAAACGAAAATTCGCCTATTGTCGCTGAACCCCCCCCCCCTCGTCGCCGAGGGTCATCCAAAACGGTATTGTTCGATGAACTGGTTTTTTTTTTTTTAACAATTTTTTTTTTGTCACGGTCTATAATACATATATATATATAGTAGGGCTGGCGCGTGGCTTTTATGCGCTTGTTGCACACACACACACACACACACACACACTGGTCTACAAACCGGCAACAGCTGGCCGAGGGAGACCCTTAAGGGTGCATGTGTGTGTGTATAAATGAACTTTATCGCAGGGGTCGAGGACAAAATAGACATTTTTTTGAAGGGGGGTTCAAAACCGGTAGCACCTGGCACGCGACCACCGGAACAATATTGTATATTATATTATATATTTTATTATTAAACAATAAGCAGCTGGACAACCGGTTGGTGGAATCGTGTAACGGGAGATCTGTGGAGTTCCCTGTACCCCCCGCCTACCTGTACTTACCCGGCCGAGGCAGGAAGGACACGTGCGAATGGCATTATATGTATTTTGTCTGTGCAAAAAAAAAAACACACACACACTTAGACATTATTATTATTATTATCAACACCGGTTTAGAAGAGGTGGTGGTGCTCCAGTTGTTTCGGCTAGACACACGTGTGCAGCAAATCCTACCCCAAGGGCTAAGATCCAGAGTCGGGATTAATAGCTAATATAATATATATTATTATTATTTGTTGTTAAGTTTGAAGAAATCAAAATAAAAGGGTAAATTCGATGTCATTATAGTTTATATATATTATTCTGGACGCGTTCTGGCCACTTATACCACATTTTTTTTTTTTGTACAGCACCGACCATCCCCCTGTAGTTTATTGTGCAGTTTTACCCCGCACAAGGGGTGCGGTGCCTAAGGGGAGGGTAGAAGCTCTGACCGGCCCCCATTTATATAATAAACGCCGGATTATTTGGCTATGACATTTTTACCAGTTTGCCAAAGGTCATCCAAAGCAGTTTATTCGGAGAGAGAGAGAGAGAGCCGTTTGGAAAATATTATCATTATTATAACGTTATACCGGCGCACACCGTGTATTATATAAAAATAAAAAAAACGTTTTCTTCTGTATATATAGTATACACAGCCGAGGGGTATAAATAAAAAAGTAAGAAACGGGCGAAATCGTTGTCTGCGTTTGGAGCAATTTAAAAAAACCAGACACACGGACTTGGGCGGAAAACACAAGGGTGGGGGAGGGGGTGACAATCCTATATACGGGTTTTCCCCGGGCAATCTAAGAAAACAAGATTTTCTTCTCGCCGAATTTATATATAAAGTTTTTTTTTTCCTCCCTTCGCACACCTCCCTCCCCTCGACCACCGAGGGCGGTGTGTACCTTAAACAAGTCTGGGCAAAAACGACGGTTTTATAGGTAGGTACCATATGATATACATAGAATTCAACTCCACCCAGGGAGACGACCTAAGATAAAAGAATTGAAAATCTTATAGAGCCAGGGACGACCCTAACAAAGTTTAAGTTGAAAATTTTCCATTTCTCGCTATTTCTATTGTTGCGTGTTAACGCGCGGTTTTGATTGTTTCTTTTGATACAATTTAATTTCGGCGTTAAAATTGTGTAAAAAAAATATGAAACCCAAACGTGACAGGTATCTCACACGTGTTGAACACTTGCCACCTGTTAGAGGCCGCATAATATTATGTTTTGTATACAAACGGATTGTATGTTTAATTTGCCCGGCCAAAGTATCCTGACCCGCACACCGAGAACAGATTAATTACAATTTGTCAAAGTCAAAAAATGTGCCTTTTTGAAATGTTAAATGGTGTTAAATCTTTTATAATAGTTTTTACATCAAAATGTATTGCAAATCGGTGTCCACCATTTAATGCAGTCGATGGCGGCCATCTTGTCGTTTTATCAATCGGTATGATATATAATTCTTATCACTACGCGTTAGTGTTGTTTATAGATAATATAATATTTTGTAGGATAAGTCATCGGGTTACATTGAGTGTCCTATCCGATTTAATTTACACTCTGCCATACGATTTTGTTTAATATTATATTTTATTCGCTCTCCGTCCGGCGCAAATCAAACAAAGGTAAGTCGGCAAATAAGAAATACACGGCCGCCCGACCGGGCCGGCGGCCATTTTGCCGTCGCCGACCTACCTCTGGCCTTTTCGGTGGCGGCCGGCCGATGATCCATCGATGGCCGCGGCCGGGTCCACCGATGACCGGCCGTCGACGCCGTCCACCGCGACCGTGAGATAACGACCTGCCGGCAGCAGGTGCTCGCTTCTTCCACACAATCACTTGTTAATAACGAAAAATACTTGTTGTTAAATCATTATTATCATTATTTTGGTTTTTTTGATTTATTGTCGTCAAGTTGCTCAAAAAATCACAGCCTGCCGTTATGATGTCTTTGTTTTACTACAAACTGATGTACAAAACAGGTAAATCACACAATCGGCCCAGTGAGAAAATGTCACAATTCGTTTATCAGCTATTATGACTTAATATTATTATTTTTATTATTTAAACGTGTCTGAGCGGCCATCGCAGACCGAAAAAACTAATAACAAAAACTAACTGTGTGTGTATATATTTTTTTATTCGTCGTTCGCCGTGACCAGAATGATTTGTAAACAGAACAAATGAAAGAAATTCCATTAGGTCCCCGCTTTGGTATCAAATATTAATAATTGTAAAATATCATTAAATAATGGATTCGATGTTGTCTATTACTGAATACCGGACTATAGAAATGAAATCAATAATCCTGTTTACCGACATTGACAAAGTTTGACTGTGTTCATAAACTGTTCTCATTTAAACGGTTTTGCCTTTAAGTAGTACTATGGGAAAACACAGGTTTAAAAAAAAAATGTCCCCTTTGTCCTTGGACCGACCAACGGGCGCCTTCGACTCGATAAAAAAAAAATAACCGTTTTCTTTTAGATATTGTCTTCTTGCCGTCGAAAACCCATTAAAATCTTCGATTACATTTGTGCGACGTTTGTGCCGTATTGTCAATAATAATAATAATAATAAAAAATTACAACCGACCGCCAAACCCGCGCTGTTGCTTTTAGCTAGAAGTTTTCAGCTACAAGTCAAAAGCCATTTGGTCGGAAACGCGCAAACAAAACACAAACAAAAAACAATAAACATTACACTTGAGGTTTTTTTTAAGATGATTTTGGGATTTTTACGATTTTGATTGATTGACAATTAAGTTTTGTTTAATGATTTTTTATGGAAATTAGATTTGTAATGTGTTTGCAATGCGTTGAAAAGTATTAAAATTAGTGTTAAATGCGAAAAAAATCGGTTACAAATAGAAAATATTATTAGGCTTTACAACGACGCTTATTTATTTATTTTTTTTGTTTGTATTGCAGAGTATGCGGGAAGCGTTAAAGCGGAATACACGACATTGACCGACACGCAGACACCGTCTTCGGCGGCCGCCTCCCAAGACTCGTCGGCCGGTCCGTCGCCGCCGCCGCCGTCTGCAGCCTCGCTGTTGTCCGTTTTCCAGTACCAGAGGCCGCGCACCTACACCAGTACGGGTGTGGCGTTGTCGCTGCCACCGAAGAAGAAGGACATTTACCGGCCGTATTCGCTGGACGACTACAAACCCAAATGGCCCAGGCCGGAAGAGGACATAAACGCGGCCCACGCGATACTCGACCTGAGCGCGTCCACCCCGGCGGCCGCCGCCGCCCAACACCACCGCAGTATTCCGGCGGTCGCGCCGCCGCCGCCGCCACCGGCACCGTCGCAACAACAACCGAGCAACCTCAAGGTCGAACAACTGAGCGACCTGAAGGCTGAACAGCTGAGCAACCTGAAGGCTGAACAACTCGAGCAGCCGGCCCAACAACAGCAATGGACGGCCGCCGCACAACCGGCGTCCAACCGCGGGCCCACCGTAAAGACGGTGGCGTACACGTACGAGGCGTTCTTCGTTAGCGACGGCCGGTCCAAGCGCAAGTCTTCCGCGTCCGGCGACGAGTGCGCGGAGATGAAGCCCAGCGCGGCCGAGCTCAAAGCCGCCAAGTACACGTGTTCCGACTGCGGCAAGCGGTACGCCACGTCGTCCAACCTGTCCCGGCACAGGCAGACGCACCGCAGCCTGGACTCTCAGTCGGCCAAGAGGTGCAACGTGTGCGGCAAGCCGTACGTCAGCATGCCCGCGCTGGCCATGCACCAGCTGACGCACAAGCTGACGCACGCGTGCGACATTTGCGGCAAGATGTTCAGCCGGCCGTGGCTGCTGCAGGGCCACCTGCGGTCGCACACCGGCGAAAAACCGTACGGGTGCGCGCACTGCGGCAAAGCGTTCGCCGACCGGTCCAACTTGCGCGCGCACATGCAGACCCATTCGGGCGACAAGAACTACGCGTGTCCGCGGTGCTTCAAGACGTTCGCCCTCAAATCGTACCTCAACAAGCACCTGGAGTCGACGTGCCTGCCGGCGGTGTCCACGGACGCGTCGTCCACGGTCGCGCAACCACAGCCTGTGGCCGTTCAACAGCCTCACCATCTCCACCACGCCGCCGCCCCGTCCGAAATCACCAGTCTCAACCTCCTGCGCCCCACCGTATTACACACAGTTTAAATACTCAACGCAAACATATCCTCCACGTTCCTCCGCGTCTCAACACACAATTGTCAACAAAAAACAATACTTGGATTTTGGATTTGTTTTTTTTTTAATAACTATTCTGGTCGATTAAAATATAGTCAATTTTGCAACTAAGTCTTCAACGGAGGTAAAAAAAAATCTAGTTCATTAATTTTAAATTATATACCATTTTTTGTCGTTAGGTCGAATAATAATAACTTTTGATTGTACACAAAAAAAAAAACCACACACCAACCGGACGCTAGTCACGATTTCTAGTCAATTGCAGGTCAACAGAAAGAAAGAAAATGTTCCATATATATATATATATATATATGTATGATACAAATCAAAAGAAACACACACACAAGGTAGATAATAATAATATTTTTTTTAAAAAACGGTCTCAAGTTTATAATTAGTATTTTTTATTTTCACTTTCGAAGGGGTGTGCAATAAGCGTGTTTAGTTTTTTTTTTGTAATATCGTTTTGGCAACAGTCTGACGAGAAGTCGTTTTTATTTTCTTTAAATATTATTATAAAACAATTTTTTTTTTTTTTATTATAAAAATGTTTATTATTTATATTTAGTTTCTATTTTTGAATAATTATTTTTTGATTTTTTTCTTTATTATAAATATATTTTTATTTGCGTGGAATCTCATAATATAAGGTATTTTTTAATTTTTTTTTATTTTATTATTTGATCTTAAATTTTTTTTAATTTTTTCTTTTCATTAGAAGTCATTAAATGTCTATTAGCATTATATTTATAATCGATATTATGTGCGGTCGGTTCCTAAAAAAAACCTTTTGCCCGGCCTCGCGCAACTTAATAAAAATTATAATAATATATATAATTTATTAAAGCCACGGGTCGACGACATAATAGTATACTCTTTTGTCTCATTTTAGTATAATATTTCACTAGCCCTAGTTTTTGATTTTATTATAATAAATTATGTATATATATATTTTTTTTTTATATACTATTATTTATTCGGATTGAAAGTACATTTCTTTTTTGGAAATGTATATTTCAGAGTGTGCGATCTAGTCATTGTATCGTGTAAGGTAGGGGTTTTTATTATAATTATTATTTTTTTTTAATGTATACTTTAGATAATACTTATTAGTCAGGAGTGGTAATATATTTATATATATAGATATATATATATATATATATATATACTATAAGAGTAAGCGATCTCAAAGTAATAATAAAATAACTAGAAATACGAAGGAGAAAAAACATAAGACAAAAAAAAGATCCATTCGATTCTATTAAAATAATTAATTCATTTAAATATCGACGCGTAGAATTAAGTAATTTTTTTTTTTTGTAATTGGAATATTAATATATTAAAAGACTAATGAAAACGCTTAGTTGCGAAAGGAACCATTTTATTATAACTATTGTATTTTTTTTTATTAAAATCTAGACAAATATACATAAACATATTATACAACACACCGAATCCATAATAATATTCGACGTTTAGACGGGAAAAAGTGATTAGAGTACAAAAAAACTGAGACACCAAAAATAATAATTTCTACTATTTTTCCTTTGTTCTCGTTTAAAGCGTTATTATTATTATTATTTCTACCCACTATTATAGAAATTAAATTATTATATTATTATTATAATAACGTTTAAGTAATATGTAGTGGAAAAGCAATAAAACACAACGTTTATCGTGACATATTAATAATATTTTCGTCTGCTCAAAATCAATGGTAATAATATTAGTCGTTTAATTTCTTTGTTTTTGTTTTCACAAAGGAGAAAAATTCGTACTTAATCACGTTAGGCTACGTTTGGTTAGGTTAGGTTAGGTCGGGTTAGGTTAGGTTAGGTTAGGTTAGGTTAGGTTAGGTTTGGTTAGGTTTGGTTAGGTTAGGTTTCGGTCGGGTCCGGTTAAGATTGCATACGGTCCTCGAACAGTCAGGTTCGTCGACCTAACCTAACCAGACCCGGTACAGATTTCTGGGAAATCCCAAAGAGCAACGGGTCCGGTTAAGATTGGGAAATTCCAAGGAGATTGCGAACGGTTCTCGAATAGTCATAGGTATTAGGTTCACGGGCTAATATTAAAAAAATATATTATATTATAATTATATTCATTTATTATGTTCATTAATTAATAATTTCCCATTTTTATTGTCATCGAAACATTATTATTATTATTATTATAATTATTATTAAGGATATTCCATTTAAACGCTATTTATAGCTAATTTTAAGAGACGACTTTTAAAACATATTAAATAATATGTGTTAATAATATTATAATATAGATAATGTTTATCGTAAGAAACAAATAATTCTTAAGTAACGTATTCGAAAAGCAATAAAACTGTAGAGGGAGAAACGGGAAGTGGGACGAAAAGATTTGTGCACTTCCGGACTGCTCTCGGTAGAGCGTAGAAGCAATAAATACATAATATATATATTATTATGTGAAATCTAGAGCAATATTTTATTGTGTACATTTTTCTTTTTTTGGATTTATTATAAAACTTCTTTTTTTTTCCCATTTAGACCATACTTTTTTTTTAGAATAAAAAAAATATAAAATAAAATTGATTTTATATAGCTCAACGTGCTGCGATTTAGAGGAGCATAACAAAAAAAATGTCGGATTTTTCCTTTTTTTAATGTAAAAATTTTTAAAAAAAATATATATATATTTTTGATTTGTAAATAACCTAAGATCGGTAGGGTCTGGTAAAACATTTCTTTTTTTTTATTGAATAAAAATATATTTAAAAAAAACACATAGTGGCCTTGAAACATATTTTGACGTTAAATTTATTAGTCTTTTTAAAACAATATTTTTTTTTTTTTTGTCCAACTCAAGTGGTCTTTTTTTATGAGATCGTTGCTTGTATTATTATTATTATTAAGTGATGGACGTTAGGACATACCGCGTAGGTGTGTTATTTTAGAATATTGTTAATATTCACATCATATTTAATAATAATAATTATTATTATTATTATTATTATTGTAATAAAGAAATACCTACGCTTGAGTTAACATCGGAAACGCGCAGTAGTTTTGCTCAATACGTACTATTATAATATATTGTATACTTATTATTATAATTGTGTAGTGATATATAATGGAACGGATCGTTTTGAGAAATTAAAAAAAAAAAAAAATTGTATTTAGATTTTTAACTATTATTATTAAATATTATTTATATATTATTATATTATAGCGAGCGGTTATATTTAATAGAAGCGCGTCGACAGTGTTTTTTTTTTTTTTTTAAGAAAAAAGTTGTATTATTATTATTATTTTGTAGTGTTATTCGTACATGATAATAATATTTTTATTATTATTATTATTGTATATTTTCGTAAATAAAACATTATTAAATAGTTAAAAAGAAAACACACCGTATAAGAAAATGTTTGTTTTTATTTGTATTTACACCTGTCCAACATTATGGAACAGCTATAAGTCGTTGATCTGAAGATGGGAAAAATGACACAAGTGTGTGGTTAGGTTGGAGTAGGTGGTAAGCAGAATAACTCCTTGAGTGAAAATAAACATTGTTCAAATAAATTTTACACACTTTTAAATGATGCAGAGCAAAAAAAAAGGTCTAGTAAAAAAATGTTCCTACTCCATAAATTCTAATTACAATGTAATAGCCAAATGAAAGATACAACTAAGTAATAGTTAGAAAACCTAGCAAAACTATCCATATTGCTGATGGTCTAAACAAAATGTAAAATATAATACTCCATAATGATAACGGTGAACGGTTCCATAATATAGCCACTGTCTTAAGTCCTTCCTGCATTAGATTGCATGTGAAAAAACAAAACAAAACTTGTCCATAATACATTTTTTTTATTACTTATAACCATTAACTAACTAATTAACTACTCAATCATTCTCAGTCCGGCAGAGAAATTAAAAATGATTAAACTCTATTTTTGTAAATATCTCGTTGAACTAGACAGAGGCTATTATTAATTATTATTTAAATTTTTTGGCGTATAAAAAACAACACCCGTGTAAAACTGGTGCCAAATGGAAAATTCGAAATCAACGGATTTTAAAATTGCAGTCCAAGAGACATTAATTTCCAGCTGCCTAGCAGAGCCCTTCAGCCTGCCCCGGATTCCAAAATCGAGGAGCTGACTGAATGTATAATTGCAGCACGGTCAATGGTCACGGTTTTTAGCGGTCTTATAATCCTAATGTACCCTGATTCCTTGGCCTGCAGCTTTAGCAGCAGGTAGGTAGGTGGAGCTGTGTGTTAATTATATTATACCGGCAGCAGCAGTCAACAAGTGCTTTTTGCCGACCGCCATGATGATGATATTTTATTCGCGTGCTTTTGGCAACAATATTATTATATTAAGTGTGCGCCCAAGACAATTGAAACGGCCTAGCTGCGAAGGCAGAAATCTCGACTTGCCCGAGTCCTTGCCGACCCTTTCCACGTCGGGGACCGGCAACGGGTAGGGGCGGCACCACGCTGTTTATGGCATGGGGTCGAGCAACCCCAAACAACCATTAATTCGACCCTTTTGCGAGATTGCCACTTTGACCATTTTTCAAACGCCTTTCCGGCTCCATCTCTCTCTCTCTCTCTCTCCCATACCGCATGCGGCTGACGTCTCACTCCGGATGTTTTTTTCCCTCTCATCCTATTATCACCGCTGCAGCCGTTTTTGTTCTCCAGATATAAGATGATCATATTGTGTGGCGGTGTCGCGGCCAAAAGTGTGCGAGACGAGAATACGACGGAGAGAAAACAATTATAATTTCACCACGATAAAAGAAGAAGAAGAAGGTTTAGGTAGGGAAAAAAACCAACACACGAGCACCGTCAAACGACACAAAGAAAAGTGTAAAAAAAGGGAGGGGCGGTGAACAGCCATTTTATTACTACTCGTGTCGAAGGCGGCTAACCGTTTGTCGTCGGTAATACAAATATATTTGAAAGTCCTGCGACGACCTGATATTATTGGCCACGGTGGCGCACAGTTGTCAATTTAAGATTATACAGTTAACAGTTTAGCTGCATGAAAGATAATAATGGCCTACCACATGAGGCGTCTTACCACTTGTTTTCACTTGCTAATACTTACATAAGTCATTAAATAGTTTTTTCTACTTACAATCTGTATTTTTTTTTTCTAAAATCTATTACATTATAAATTAACTAATATAATTAGAGACTAGTTGAGTAAAGACTGTAACTTAGATTTTACTATTACTCTAATAAATATGTAACAAATATGAAAAACACAAAATCACAGTATTTGAAAAATATCCAATTTTTTTCACTATTGTTCAAATTTTG